GGGGCGGTGTTTTGGCGGGAGGAGGAAGAAACAGATGAAATGACAGAAAAAAATGAGCTGTTTGAAGCCCAACATCAGAAAGAGCACCGGTTGGATGAAATGCCGGTTCCTCCAAAAACTTTGAAATCAGCCCCCCCTCACACACACACACCCTCGTCTCTCTGGTTTTGAACTAGGGAGGATGTTATCTGTCACATTTCAAAAGTGGCAGAGAAGGCGAGGGACTGTTCACCTTTCAGAAACGCTGGTATTCTCTCTTTACGGAGAAACATATCCAGCCGAGCACATTACTATATCAGCCTGCGACAATATTGGAAACAGCGTGTATCCTCTGTATCTCTCTGTTTGAGTCTTGCAGGGCCATAAAGAGAGATAATATTTCTAAATGATGTCTGAGGGTGGCTGATTTAAAGCCCAACGCTGCCATACTATTCATTAATAACCACATTGCATCAGACAGCTGTTCCTGTTTCAAGGTGCTCTGGGCTACAAGCAAGGCAGAGGTCATTTAAATACCTTTAAATAGAAATTAATGTCAAACTGTAGTCTTAATAAATTCGGCTAAATGCAACTACAATCTTAATCGTCATGTGAGGGACATGTACTGTGTCTAGCATAAATACTGAGCTAATTTTAAGCAGGTTTTGAGTATGTAAAAGCTCCAGCAATAATCTTTATTATTAAAACAGAATTATACTGTTTCATGATGCAAAGTTGAGAAAGATCATCTCCTGATATGAAATTGTATGTAGTGAAATGTATACTGAATCAAAGGACCTAAAATTATTCAGGACTTGTGCTCAAATTATGACTAAATGATGATCTCAGCAGCACCAATGATGACCAATAGTTCAGCAGCAGACATGGACAGCAGCATGATGGTATAAAACTTGGTCTTGTGCAGAAAGGTCACTGATTCGAGTCCCCCAGAACAACTGTGAAGTAAATGGAAAACACACCCTTGACAACAATCAACATGCTGCCCCAGTTGCTCCAGTGGAGCCCGTCAATAACCAGCAGTAAAGGCTGGAAATGTACTGGTGAGCTCCCAGTGTGAGAGTGCTGGTCTGAGAGGAAAGCAGGATGGTGTTGAAGGAAAAAAACATACATAATAATGTTGATAGTGCACAAATAAAAGATAAAAAATGTAAACTATACTATGTAAAACATTGACTGAGGTGCCATTATAAATGTATATGAAAGAACACTCATACTCTTTAACTACTTGAAAAGTAAATCACGCTCTCATCCTGGCACCCACTGAGGTGCAACTCAGAGTCACAGGGTTTCCTTGGGCAGAGTGCAGGGCCTGAGGGCCCATCAAAGGGTACAGCGTGTTAAGGAAAGTCTTCCGCCTCAGCGACATCACAGGACATCAGTGCCGTGACTCAGGGCTCGCCATGGATAACCCTCAGCTGGCTAAAGCCAGCCCCCAGCTGAGCCTGCACCCGGCCCTAATACCCCCATATTGTAACCCAGCTTTTGTACCCCTAGAGTAAAAAAAAAAAAAAGAGGGGGGTGCTGGTTTCCATAGGAGGTGGGGAGCAGAGAGGGATTGAGGCAGGGAAAGGGGGGGGGGGTAAAAGAGAATGAGAGAGGGGGACTGAAATTGAAGAGTATGAATGGGAACAGATTGGGTAATTATAGTGGGGTGCCTGCCCTCTGTGGCGAGGAGTTAGGAGGAAATGTGAAAATGGCCGACAACAAAATGGCCTCAAAAGAACCTAAATCGGCTCCCAGGACTGAGGTGGCTATATTCAGCCGCTGTGAACGAGGACATGGCCCCTCAATTAGATATGAGTGAGGCTTCCTAATTGATAACAAACAGAGCAGCAGAAGATTAAAAAAGAGAGAGGAGGCATTACAATGAAATGACAGTGAGGTGTGTGAGTGAGAGAGAGGAAAGAGCAGAAAGAGAGAGAGATGTGAACAAGACATAAAAGACGTGAGGAAGACAAAATTCCCAACAAGGGTTTTCATATGAGAGAGAAAGTGAGAGAGAGCAACAGGGAGAGAGAGACTGTATGACAGAAAGAACAGAACAATATGAACATTTGATGCCGGGGCACTTTATTCCAGCTTAGCTCCTCATAATACTGTCTGAATCTGGAGAGAGGGACCCAGAGAAAGAATAAACGAATGAACAAACGTGAAATGAGAGAGGCAGAGAGACAAACTGAATACTGAGGAGAGAGAGAGAGAGA